AGCATTGCTACTTGGCAGAAATTATGCCAGTTTGCTCAAATTATGCCAAAAAATTATGCCCCGGCCGGACCAATACTCATGGTCTTAAAATAACTGAGGAGAATTTGCTACCTTTCTATAATATCAAGAAATGGATAGATATTCTAGTCTTCTCGGATAAGGACGAATAAACCGTAGGCCCCGTCTCCTGCAGGGTTAGGGGTAGGAGACGTTAATTTCCCACGCACGAGATTACTGTGTTGTAGATGTCCACCCCTGGGGTGGGATGGGTGGTTATAGGCAGGACCCCGTTGATAACAGTACTTGGTACTGAAGGGCTATCCTGGATAAATATTCAATTATTATTATTATTATTATCTAAGATTCCCTCCCTAATAGGCTCTTGTCTCCAAAAGCCCCTCCCCCCATTCAACGATAAGCCCACTGTCTAAAAAAAAAGCCACCCTTCTCTATAAAAATCTGCCATTGGGTATGCCCTCACTTGGGTAAAGTTCTCTCTAAAAGCCCACTGTCTAACACACCCCTCTCCCCCTCTAATAAACTACCTCTCTAAGACATCCCCCTTAATCTCCTGCATGGTAATTCGAGGAATTCGAGGTTCTACCAACAAATATGGACTGGTCGGGCTAAACCCATATGGACACTACTACTTGTATCTACCTATTCAAGATCATTTATCCTGAAATAAACACAGAAGGTTTTCTTCCACAAGCTGCTTTGACTTTCTGGAGTTGCATTCCTGTCCATGAAATTTTTGTCTAAAAAGCCTCAAGGGTAGCTTCAACATTGATTAACTGTAATCATTGTGAAATAAATGCATAAAGTTTTCTACCACAAGCTACTTTCACTTTCTGGAGTCCTTTTCCTGTCCATGAAATTTTTTTCTAAAAGGCCCCAAAGGTACATGCAGCTTCAACATTGATTAAATCTTATCAGTCATTCCAGAGGGGTAAATCCCAATTGTTTTTCAGGAAACCACCCTTCAGTTTCTACTTATCATCACAAACAGTTATAAAAATAATAATAATAATAATAAGTAGATGCTTATAGGGTGCATTTCTAATCTCAATGGGCCTAACAACAGATTATTATAAGAATAAGTAATTAATTGACAGTAATGTTTTTTAAACAAAAATGTCTTAAGCCTAGTTTTGAATGTTCCTACTGTTTCCCCTCTTTTAATATATTCGGGAATTGAGATCCATAGTTTCGGTACAGATACTGAAAAAGCGCGTCCACCTTAGGAATTGGATTTAATAGGTGGGATGCATAACTGTAAGCGAGTTGATGATCTCAGTGTTCTTGATGGCTGGTATTCTTATATACAAGTTTAATGTACAAGTTTACCTTGTACATTGCAGCATGGTTTTGTTTGACACAGTTCCTAAGCTGTAAGTTCCAGCTGGGCAAGGGCTGCAAAGGATGCTACTTGACAGAAACTCCCCTGGACCACAGTGCACTGAAACATGAGAAAAAAGATCTCTAGGCTATGCCCAACAAGCCCTTCCCATATGTTTAAAACCACGAGAGCTTAAATGGGATCAACAAGTAATTTCTTCTCAAGCAAGCTGATGTGAACACATAAACTTATTAGCAAGAGGGTGCTATCTAGAGGTTTCACTTTATTTCCTTACCCAGTTCAAGAAAAAAGGGGAATGACAGCAAGATGAAAAATCTTTGAACTTGGAGGCAAAGGTAAATGCAAGCCTTGGTTAACAAAATAATAAAATAAAAACTCTGAAGCTCTCCATTCCAAAAAGAAGTTATCCAGCTGACCTTAATCAGAATGTAATGGTTATCTGAATTAAAAATTGGCCCATACACACATGTATGCAGTATAGCATAGTTGGCACTTTGTTGCAACCAATAGCACAGTAAGTTTTAGTTCACAACCCCCAGATTTGACTCTGGTATACAAGGGACTCAATCAAAAAGTTTAAAATACTTCAGAATTTGTAACTTCAACCAGACATATTACCTGGGCAGTCTGTGTCTACAGTACAGTTATTACAGGATACTTGATGAACATTTTGCAACAGCACAGGTGACAAAAACAAACTTTTGTTGACCACATTACAGCTGAACTCACACTCCTAGTAACCAAGGAAAAAAAAATAAATACTAATTCGAGTATAAAACAAACCATGAGGTGTCTTCTTCTTTTTGATTCATTAACTCTTTAAGTCCCAGAAGTGATTAACATGTAGCTTCTCCTTCCAATGGCCCTACATTATCCAGCAAACAAGTACTGAGAATACTCAAACTTGTCAAGGAGAAGTTGTTATCTTGGTCTAACACCAAATTCTTGTTACCAGTTTACAAGGAAATGTCCAAGACCAAGAAGGGAGAATCAACAACCAGATCTTAGGAGTGAGGGCTAACTGCCCTAAATAGAGAGCTAAAATAATATTATATTATAACATGACCCGGGCAGTCAGGGGGCCAATAACTAAAATCAACCAATCAAAATGCTCTATTGCC